CGCCGCCCTTAGTCAGCGCTCCGAGCCCCGCTGTGCTTTGGAAAGGCGGCGGATGAGTAACCGGCTTTGCCCGCTCATTTGCTCCATCGCTGCCAAGCGTCCAGCTTTGTGCGGCTGGCAAAGGGATCTCGCTCCTGCGGCGCTGCAGATACCCGGGCCGGTAGTGTGTGGTTTCTGGCCGGTTTAAAACCGAGAAAGTCTTGCCTGATTTTCCCCTTCTCCACGTGGAGATGTAAGGTTGCAGGCTAGCTCAGATTTCCTCCTCTTGGCAGGTAAATAGTTAAATACTTGATAATTATGTGCTCGGGTACAAGGGGTGAAAAGGGAGGCAGCAGGCTGCCTTCTGTGCTGTGCGGGTAACGGGTTGCCCTTCTCTTCCCAGGAGCAATGGCAGGGGAGGCCTGCAGCCAAGGGGGGGTTTGCTCTGCTGATGAGGGGGGCTGGCAGGTGCTCAGCTGCTGGTGTCACGCCGAGACCCCTCTTCATCCTTCCCCGCTTTCAGACCTGACGGCGCAGCGCACGCATCCAGCAAGAGGCTCAGCAGCGAGACGCTGAGGTGGGTCTGTACGCGCCACAATTAGCGCTGATCACAGGACCACGTGAGCCAAGACAATTGATGACTCAATCCTTTCACTACTGAACCAGTGTTTGTGGCTTTTTTTTATAGCCATCTGAGTTTGCGGGCAAGAACTATGCAATGCTGTGAACAATATCCAGTAAATAATGAGATCTTCCCAGATGGACTTTAGGCCAAGTAAAAGAATGCAGCTGGGCCAGATGACTTAAATTTTCCGGCTATAAATTGTAGCAATTCACCAGCTGTATGCAGTAAAATACAAGTGAAATGATCTCCCTTGAGAGCTGGTGTTTAAACCTGTGGAAGTAATGGCTCTCCTCAAAACATACAGCCCTAAACAAAAGGTAACGTAACATAAGGATGCTGTGGAAGTGAAAAAGAGATGGACAACAGGTGAGAGTTACTTAGACGGTTTTATTTGTATCCCCACTCCCCAGTAATGGGGTTCCGTAGCTCTGTTCCTTGTTAAGGACTTCTCTTTCAGGTTTCCCACACCATGCAGGAAGGAATTATGTTTGTTCCATAATAATAAAATCTGTCCACAAAAGCTGTAAACATTATTTTGAGTCTCTTGTTACTGTCTCTTCCAAACACACACACACAATATTTGTATCAAAGAATTTCTGGGTGACCTGTAATGTCTAGTCTCTGACTCAATCTCACTTTTTTTTTTTTTTTTTTTTTTTTTTTACTTTTCAATTCTTTTAAGCAAAAATACCTTGAGGTGAATGGGTTTTTTTTGTGGCTGATATCTGACAGAGTCATTGCTTTCCCATACTTGCAGCCCCTACAGAGCCCCTTGCTTAGAAAGTTTCTGAGAAACATGCCCTGTTAAAATCTCACAGGGACGCTGAACCTTTGCAAGGTCCCGTTCTTGGTCTGAGGTCCCCCTGCTTTTATACCTTAAGCAGCCCAGACCCTCTGCAACATCTTGTTTTTCAACACCCGCGCTGTACAGAGAACACCCGACCGTTTCACAGCGCTGGGCACGTGGAGCGTGAATGTCAGGGTGCACGTTTTTCTCTCCCGCTTGTGTCTTTGCGTTCAGCTCGTAGGGTTGAGCATGAGTTGAAAGTAATGCTGCAATCTGTTCAGACCTGCCAGCTCATTTTAATAGTCTCACTCAAATGCACAATATCTCAGCCCGCTTGGCTTCGTGAGCGTAGAGGTGAGCAGGTCCTATTTTATCATTAAGACTCTTTCAAGTAATGCTTTCTTTTGGCTCACAAATAAATCAAGGACAGCAGTAAAACAAGAAAGGAGAATAAATCTTCTGATTGATTGCAGACAGAACAGCTTTCTGCAGAATTCTTTCAGCTCTTTGCTTTTTACGCTTGAGTTCAGTAATGGCATGTAGCGGTTTTGCGCTTTCCTAGCAAGCTGTCCGTGCTTGTTCCAAACCGTGCACATGGCACCCAGCAGCTGTGAGGGTCCCGTACTGACCCGGTGCGGTACTTCTCGGGGATATCGGTCATTAGTAAATCCAGGCCGTTTCACAGAATTTCTCATTTTCCTTCTGAGATATTCTGAAGGATTTTGATGAGATTCTCCAGGCCAAAAATATAGCCGTGGTCTGGCCCGTCGTAAGTGGTGTGATTGCATTTGGAGCCTTTAAACGTGGTGTGGGCAAAGTCTATCATCCGGACATCAACTCTGGAGTGATGAGTGCCATGTGACATGGTGCAGTTTGGTTTTTGGAAGTGAAGGTGATTATCCAAGGGTGCCGTGTTCTCCTTGTGCTCCTGTCCGTCGTAAATGATGAGTAGTGAGCTGGAGTAGAACCTGTAAGAGCTTTGCTTCCTAATGACAGAAAGCAGAGCTTTCAGCCGCAGGATGATGGGCTCCAGGAGGTCCGTTCGGAGGTGGTTACCGTTGCACAGGAACTGGCGCAGGGTTTGCCTGAACCCTTCCGGTGAGAGTTTCCTGCCGTAATACTTATCTTTGCAGAGAAAATGGCCGGTGTCCACTTGGTAAACCTTGAGGAAAGGGAGCGACAATCCAGATTCAGTTGTTGAGTTTTCCCAAAGCTCTAGATTTTGTCCTAATCTTAAAAAGTTCAGACCCGAGCTGAGGAATGGGATGCGAATCCTCTGCAGCCTCGCAATACCTAGCCATGCTGGCAATGCACCGCAGCCTTCCGCTGAATCCCACCTCCTGTCTTTTCTGGAGATTTAAACTATTCAATTTAAACCACTAGTGCAGGTTCCTGTTGTACTGCTATAAATTACCCCTTTGTGAAACCCAAATAGCTGTAAGTCATAGCCGTGTCACTGGTGATTTACAGCATTTTCCCTCCATCTCTGTCAGGAGTCTGCGGTAGTACGGGAATACCCCCGCTTTGTACCTTCTCGCAATATGGAATGCACGGGTAGTGATAATCTTGCTTTCTTAAATACGGGGAGACAAGTTGTAGACAGAAATTTGAATGTGAGGCTCTGGTAACACTGAGTAAGAAATGAGGGAGTGCATTTAGAATTAGCTCACACGCCAGTTGTAATTTAAAGGATAACCTGCTCAACAGAAGGAGACCAGGAAGGAACACGGGGTTTGACACCGAGTGTTTATGCTGCTATAGGTGTGCTTTATAATCATCATTCTCATAATGATCCCTCAGGCACAGCAGAACAACATTTTGAAACGTGCTTGAGAAGTGTGAGTGAAACAAGTATGTGGTTTCAGTTTCTAGGAGGAAGGGCAGCAATTTTGAGCAAGAAGAACCATAATATTTAGCACAAAATAAAGCCCTCGCTTTTGCGGCAACAGCTCTGCAAAGGCACAAGCAAGAAAACGGGTTTGGTTTTCCTTTTTGTGCAGCATCCAAGAGCTGAGCATGAGACGGGGATCCATGCTCATGTACAGGCAGATTCTCAGCTGGGGTAAACTGGTTCCAGCTGCCCATACTGGTGGCAGTGGTGCGGGGTGGTGCCCATGCAGCCACCGCTTGTGGTTGCAGCCAAGTCTCCAGAAGTCGGAGAGGGACAGGGAAAGGGGTTACCCTGTAGGTGCCATGTTCTATACTCTTCCCTAAGCATCCTCGCCTCTTTGAGGACACAACAGACGGCCGAGTGGCCGGTTCTTACAGCCCAGATTTGGTGGGAGACAGGAATGAAACAGCTCCAATTTCTGCCAACAAAGCAAAGAGCCCCTTTAGATTTCCAGCGTGGTTTCAAGCCGTGTGTCGGGCAGACACCGAAAGCACCAAGGCTCCGTCTTACCTGCATCCCACAGATGCGAACGCCCAGAGATGCAGAGGTGCTTTGTTCACACTTCTTGATGTGCCGGGCTTTCTTCTCCTCCGAGGCATCATCGCCATGCTGCCGGGTTCCCATCTTTAAGTCCAGGATACAGGGATAGTTGTATTTTGATACCACGTTTTCAAGCAATAGAAACTCTGGACGTGAGTTAAGGGAAACCCAATTCTTTTAAATTCTAATTGAAAGAGGCCTTAAATCAGAGCAACTGCTGACGCTCTCCATAATAGCTCACAACTGTAATGAGACTTTCTGAGCCAATTTTACCAACCTGTCATTGCTATAGGCCCCTCGCTGCCAATTTCAGTTAATTTACTGTAGTACAGTCCTACCAATTAAAGCACCAGCAGCTCCATTCTCGAGCGACACGATAGCCCTGGGCTGTCAGTCCGACACCTGGCCTCAGTGCTGTGCTCACTCCAGTGGGTGTGCGAGAAGTTGTTAAGCTGTATTACTCACATGACTGGTGGGTAATGAAGTGTAATAGGAAAATAAAAGGCGAGGCAGCTGCTAATTCCTATATAGTTGTGTTTTTAAATGTATGCCAAGGGGATCCTTGACTTATGTGGAATACCCTTTATGGGAAGTGGGGTTTTTTTCTTTTTTAGAATAGAATAGAACGTTTCAGTTGGAAGGGACCTACGATGATCATCTAGTCCAACTGAACAGTGGAAGAAGATAACAGAGCAATATATTGTGTACATTCTGTATTTTCCCAGGGACGGGGCAGAGGAGGGATGCGTACCCCCCACCAATAAAACATACATTGATTTCAAGCTGTTATTTGTAGCCAAGACCATGCTGGAGGGGCGAGAGGAAAAAGGATACGATGAAGTTTGTTCTCATTATTCTTGGACGACATGCGGTTCAGGTGTTGCCTGTGACAGTGCAATCCCCAGGGGTTGTAGCTGTTTCTTTCTGGCTGGTTCCTGTTCGCATCTTCCAAAAGTGAATCTGTGTGGTACTGAAGGTCTGTCCTCAGGAGCATCTTCCCCAGGCAGCTAGACAAAACACACAAAAGAACGTGTTTGATTTATAAGCTCCAGAAGGGAACATTCCTCCCCTCCTCTTTTGTAGAGCCTCAAACTTGATAAGGTAAATTTTCAGGGACTCTGTATTCATCATGTCCAACCTGTGGAGATCCTTTGTTACTCCGTAAAAGTAATTTTCAGAAAGCCAGCTATTGCTGGGTGCCAATATTTTCTTTCATTATAATTTCAAAGAGTGCTTGGCTCCTCTGAAAGGTGCCATTCACAGCGCCAAGGACCAGGAATCTCTATTTATCTACCTAACAGGCACAACACAGGCAAATGGTCCAACAATAGGAATGATTCCCAATTTAGAGGGGCTGGCTTCGAGGAGGGGAGGGAGGAAGCAAAGAGGAGATTTGTTCTCCTTGGAGGGTCATCCCTTGATCTCGCTCATCCAAAAGCAATAACTCCCTTCAGGCCGAGGGCAGCGGTTTCAAGGTAGCGATATTGCACCCTTCAGTCATCGCTGACCTAGGTCTCTTCTGAACCAGTTTGAGAAGAAAGATGTCTTGCAGAACGCCTCTGCAAGCCCCGCGGTCGCGGTGTGCTTGCAAGCACCGCAGTGCCTTCCAGAGAGAGCTCTCCCCTGGGACGAGGACAGGACCGAACCACCCTCGAGGCTGCTACTTCTGGCTGGTTCCCAGCAGCAGGGTGTGATGTGCTGTGTGCTTGGTGGTGTTCCCCTGGGGCCTCTCCTCCTTTGGAGCATGCTGCGCTCCAGGGAAATGGGTTTAAAGCAGAGTTTTGAGGCGCATATTTGAGCAACGGCATCTTGGTGATAACCAAATCTGCCCCGCTCCATCCACAAGCCAGGGAAGAGATGAACCATGAAGCCACCAATCTGGGCTTTGCTCTGCTTCACCTTGGCTGGGCGTTGCTTTTGCTCGCTTTGCCTTAAACCAGGAATTGTGCCACCAAAACCCTCCCGGTTAGACCCTACCCAAAGCGGCAGGCGAGCACCAGGAGGACATTTGCAGGGGGCAGCAGACCCTCACCTGTCTTTGAAGGTCTTGGTGAGCTGCGTGTGACTCCACTTGACGAGTGTGTGCTCGCTGCCGGTGCCGGTGCTGGCAGCCCATTTGCACTTGTGCCATATCGTCACCGAGGACTCACCGATGGCGTTATCCAGCAGGCCGCAGCTCTCCGTCTGCAGGCTGGGGCTGGCGACCAGCGTCGGGTTGCCGAGGCTGTCCTTTTTGAGGTGCACGGAAACGATGCCTGGACAAAAGGAGGAAAAAACCAAGCCAGAATGAGGTTAACCCGTGTGTCACCATACAGGTCGGCCACCGTCTGCACCAGCCCGAGGTGGTCCAGCCTTCCTGAGAGGGCTGGCCCTTAGCAGGACAGCTGCCTCCTCGTATTTTAGTGGCCTCTCACACCGATCCCGCTCTGATTTGAGTGCAATAAACACCATTAACCTGAGACCCTGCAAAACATCTTCAGGTTTTCTCATGATCCCTCCTCTCCAGGCTCGGCTTGACAGCTGCCCCCTCTGAACACCGCGTTGTTCTCTGCCCCTCCAGGCTCTGCCGTGCCGCAAGTGACCCGGCAAAGACGCCCGCGCTGGACCGGGAGCTCCTGGCTTATTTATGACAAAGGCTTTATGTCTCACTTTTTAAGACAGGGAAAGGTTGGAAATGCTTTTCATTGGCAGGAAGCAAAGGGAGGGTTGGGGACCGGGAGTTTTCCAAAGACAGCCAGCATGCCAACTCCTTCCTTTAATTGGAGAGCCCCCAGAGCCAGGGCAGAGGCACGCGCATGGGCTGGCAGCGCTGCCTGCGTACGTGGTGCCCGCACATCGTCACGGTCGTGCCCTTCCCCACGCACCAAGGACCAGCACCTGTGGGACTGGACCCCCACATGTCGGGTGTTCATTCACGAGGAGGAACGTGACTGTCGCCGGGGATGATTACTTTCCACCCTAAGTGCTTAAAACATCGTTGTGTGTTTTAGCATTGCAGTTTTCCCTGACTCTAGCAGGGCTCCCAGGGCTCTCATGCCATTCAGCCCATCACATTTTTAGCCCGGTCTCAGCCCAGCCCGGCATGGGGACGGCTGCCTCCGCGTCTCAAGTGCCAGAGCAGGCATGGCCGTGTGAATGGCCGTGGCTCGCATACGAGACAGCTCTGACCTTTCTGGAAAAGGCTGATAACCGCAGTCCCGCTCCCGCAGCCCTCTGCCAGGGCTGTCCCAGCCTCTCAAGGCAGCAGAGGCACTTTTAGAGCATTGTCCTTTGGGTCGCAGAGGGGATGCCAGCCTCATGAGTCCTCCTCCGCTGCTTTCACGTCTAGCTGCAGTAAGGTGGATCCAAAAGAGGACGGTCAGGGCTGTTGGACCAGCAAAACCCGTCACTGGAAAGAGCCCCGGTCAGCAATGCGTGGAGCTGGGTTTTATCCAGCTGTCCCCGGGTATCCTCCCTTGGTGCTTGGGCACCGTGGGGAGATGCATTCTGGCAACTTAACAAACTAGGGAGCTCTGTTCTCCCAAGCAAATTTGCCAAAGCAAATAAATATGCAAACTCCCTTCTGCCCATTTAGAGGGAGGTGATAGTAAGTAAACGGAGACGGAAGGATTTGCCCTCTCTGCGTGCGCGCAGAGCCCTGCCTGCTGAGTTCTGCTGAGGGGGGTTCTCACTGCGGGAGCCCCGTGCGTCTGCAGCCACTGGCCGCCGCCGTTAGACTTGGGGTGCCCATCCCTCCCCGGGCCCTGCGCCCCATAACCCTGCAGCTCCAGCCGTATTCGGATGCGCTTCCCTCCCGCCCCCCGCACAGCCCCCCTGCTCAGGTACCACAACCATTTCTATTCCCTTTTGCGGTAAAATCAGCATTAATCCAAGCAGCGTGCCGTGGCAGGCTCGGTTAAATGGGCTAATTTTGCACTGAAATGGGGGAGGAAGATACACAGCCTGCTCTGCGAAGGGAGCTGGGGGGGGCTGGAAACCTTAATTAGGGGGTAAGAAATATTTTTAGCTATCCGTCATGGTGCTGGTGAGCACAGGGAGTTCTGTCTTTCTCAGGCTCCAACGTTGCCCACCTGATCTTCCACTGAGTCCCGTTCGTAAAAAATCCGTATTACAGATGACTGAGAGCAAGCGAAATTCCTATCAGCTCGGATGCCTGCTTTGAATTTTCAGGGGAGGTAGGCAGGAAAAAAAGCCAGAGTATCTTTTGCCTAAATCAAAGCCTTTTTTTATTTTTAAAAAGTCACTGCGAGGCGAACAGAGTCCTCGATTCCAAATCTAGCGCTCCGCCTCAGTGACGGCGCTACAGCAGCCTGTAACCTTAAAAACTGTCCCAATTACATATCTGCAAGTCAATGGAGCCGTGCTGATTTGCATAGTGCTGACAATCTGGCCCTAAAACCGTTATATATAGCGTGAAACTAAGAGTTCTTAAGTATCTTACATTAATATGAAAATTAATGGGGAGATTTTCAAAGGCAAGAATGAGCAGTTAAATTGCAAAGGAATGTGATCTTCTGACTCCTTCCAGCTGCAGACTCTGCCTTCATAAACCCAGGCCTCAGCCTTAAAAACACTTTTGCTTCCTGGTGTGCTTCCATACAGGTTCTGCGCACGTCCTGCAAGTGACCTACGTCTGCAAAGCAAATCCGTAACACACGGCTACAGACCTTCTCTTTTAACGCAACAGGGAAACATCTATCGAGGAGCAGAGCTGTGTTTAGGTACTTGTCTGTGCTGGCCTTTCAGCGTCGCCAAAACCGCAATCCCACCCCTGTCCAGCAGCAGCGAGGCAGCCAGCGGGTATTTCTGGGTGCTGGCACCACGCTAGTGGCATCCCAGTCATCCTCAGGAGCGTTTTGCTCTACCCTCATGGATTTATTTTTAAATTTACAAGTGCATTGATTTACTGCCGTGTGCAATAGGAATCTGAGCAGAAACGGGCTTCAAAATAAGTCCAGCAACCCCTCGCGAGCTCAGCTCGGGGCAGGCAGAGGTTTGCAAGGGGTGAGGAAGCCGGTCCCAAGGTCAGCAACCTGCCTGAAATGGTTAAGCGAGCGGCGGACGTTTCTTTAAGCAGCCGACTCAGTGTTAGATTTGAATGATGACATTTGATCAACATTGCACATAATGTCATCATTGCATAATGGTCCCCGAGCCGCCTAAGAATAGAGCTGAGGAACATGGACACGTGTGAAGGGGTGATGAAGACCTCAGGATTATCTCCCTGATGCTCATCCCCCCCTCCCCACCATCGCCCTCGTGGGAAAATATTCCACCTCTTTAAATTGCCCGGCAGTCAGGGCTGGGACAGTTATAATCAGAATAAAAAATGTGTGTGCCCAATGCCAAATTGCAGAAGAATTGCTATTTAATTACCCCTCGTCACAAAACTCACTGGGACTTGCAATAGAAGAGAAAAAGAAGACAAAAAAGTATTAATAACCAGGTCACCCCTGAACTGATAAGCTGGGACTGCTTAACGTCTTTATTAGAGAGACAGAGCAGGGCCCAGCTCTCCAGCACCAAACCCTGGCCCCAGCTACAGAAAATCGCTTAGAGGAAGACTTGTTTTCTTTCTTAAGCATCTTTTTAATATTGTCCCATAAATCTGCAAAGGCCCCTGAATTTCTGGGAAAGAGAGAGATTGGATTGGAAGCGCATTGAAACTGCGGCTGACACTTTGAGCTCTTTTCTGTAGCGCTGAAGGACCAAAAGATATTTTAAGTTTTTACGTGACAGCTGAGCTTCTCGCCTCTTGCAAAAATCCAGGGTCAGGAGCTTTATGAGCAGCACAAGTCTGGCAGTAAAAGCAGAAATAGTGAGGGAATGAGAAAGGGAGGGAGGGAGGATGGCTTTGAAAAAATGCTGGGACCCCCACAGACACCAAGCGCTGCTTTTCAGCAGGTAAGCTGGGAAACTCGGCTGGGAAAGTGGGTCAGGGCAAGGAGAGCTAGGGACGGGGTCTGAAGGGGGCACAGGCAGTGGTGGGGGGCACGGAGCGGAGGGGCAGGCCGGAGGCTCTTCGCTGTCCCGGGAAGGTCTCGCTCGTGGCAGGACAGCTGCCTGGGCGGGATTTTTAAGAAGTTAAGCGATCTGTACGTCTGGTTTTCCAGAGCGCTGGCGGGAGCCGGGCTTGGCTAAGGGGGAGCCACCAGCAAAAGTGATGCTCGATATGTTCCTGGGCTGGTTTTTCAGGCTTGGAGCTTCATGCTGGCCCCAAGGACCATCTCTCCCTCAGCTCGTGCTGGTGCCGACCCTGACCCCTTCCTTGCCCTCACCAACTTCTCTGCCTCTGACACAACCCTTCGCCTCCTCTGAAACCCTGGAGCAACGGGGCCATGCACGTGGGGCAAAGGCACCCTGAGCTCTGCTCCCGGTACGGAAAGCCTTTCTTCTCAGGGGATGCTAATGCCAAGCTGTACTGACCAGCGCACGCCACGTGTCAGATCCCGGGAATCCTGTTTGGAACAAGACTCCCCTAGTCCCTGCTTCCCCGCACCTATTCGGTGCTGCCATTCGCATGTCATCAGACCAACTTATCTGGGGCCACGACCCATGCAAAACCTGGAAAGCAAACACTGCCGGTGCTCAACCCTTATCAGACATCAGAGAGTCCCCCCTCCCCAGCCACAGAGACCCAGGAAACCCTCCCGGTCTCACAGGCCTGCCCCTGCGCACACACTCAATGGGAAGCATCCTTGCTCAAGCGATGGGGCTCCAGAGCTCAGCGCCTCCCACGCTGCCACCCACCCCACCGGCCCTGACCCCCAGTCTCAGGACTAATCCTGACCCTCAGCTCCCTCCCCAGCCCTTACCTTTGTACTGGGGCGTGAACTGCCTCATGGCCAAGGGCAGCGACTCGTAGAAGCTCAGCTCCTGTGAGACCAGGGGCTTGCAGACCGTGTGCTCGTCGTACTTCATCATGCTCATGTGGCCGCCCACCTGATGGACGAAGGGCTCCAGGAGGACGGCGCTCCTGCTCTCGCTGGGGTCCAGGGGGCTTTGCCCCACCATGGTGCTGGGCGAACGGCGGAGGGGGGGTCGCTCCCCGTTAGTAGCAGTGAAGGGGGATCGGCAACGGAGTTTGGGACATCCTGCGCTGGGCCAGTAAACACCCACGCTGGGTTTTCACCGACGGTGTCTGCAAAACAGAGATAGCGGGGACGTG